GATATTCATTGGAATACATTAATGTAGCAATAATAGATTAAAAACATGCATTTATTTTAGGTTTTCGTTGCTTTCCTGAGTGCTTCAGTGTGCCTGTTGTGATTAGTTATAGGCCATCTTGACATCCATTGTCCATGTACTGTAGTATCAAATTCATCTTCTTCAATGCCCAGTGACTCCTTTTGTGCTGTATTACGATCTGTGGTTGCAAAGTCCTCCCAATCTATTTGATAATTTGGATCTTGCTCTGTACGCATTAAAATGGGATCCTTAATACCCTCAAATCCACTTGGTTTTTTAGGATCTTGCCAACGAAGGTCAATGCTCCAACGTATTTTATCGGAAAAGTTTTCAAGGCTTCTGTGAGGAATGCAGTTATTGAGGAAGAGGACTCCACCCAAAGGTACTTCACAAGTGACCACGTCAGTCTTCATGTTAACTCCAAGAGTTTTCTCCATCTCTTCCTCAGCTAAATCAACATACCAAGTACTTCCAGCACAGCAGGTATGAGTAGCAGTCTTACCAGCCCGATGCCCTCCTTTGACCACTTGCATGCAACCATTGGTCATATTGGCATCAATAAATGGTATCCAAGCTGTTGCAATGAATGTGTGCAGTGATTCTTCATAAAAGTAAGCATTGTCTTGATGCCAAGGCACTGTTGTCTGCTCATTGACTGGTGTTTTAGGTCGAAGATTCCACCCTGGACTCCCGGCAATATTAGGCCCAATCAACTGCTCGACAATATTCAATAGTTTCTCATTTGACCACAGCTTTCTAAATCCTTCTGGAAGGAAACCTTCCTTGTGCAGTATTACAGCTGCTCCTGGAAACTGCTCCTCAATGAGAATGAGTCTCTTGTAGAAGTCTTCATTCTCTCCCTTATCCTTTATCTTGCCTCCTCTGTGCAACTTGTCTGCAAGTTTATCAACGCATTCATCAATGGCTGCCATTGCTGGCTTCAGCTCTTCACTGGTCAATAGCTTAGGTAGGACCAGAAACCCATCATTAAAGTATTGCTTGACTTGCTCAGGAGACAATTGACTTGGTTTCTTATCTTTTGGTTGAGGAGGTGGAATTGTGTACACTTCAGGAGCAGCAGCCACTGTAAAACAGAAACAAAACCTAAAATTAATAGATACGTTAGAGGATCACAGTCTTACCAAAACTGTAGCTCCTGCTAGTAAGAGTAATCCCCAATCTCCTTACATTGGATGCTAGCCTCAAAAACGACATTTTGGTGATTTTAATTTTGCAGACGAGCAGCCACACCTTCTTGATAGGTGTGGTTTAGATTTACATCTGGGTGTGGTCTTTGATCCTTATAAGGAATTTGATCAATCGAGTCACATTGTGTAAAAATGGCTACTGGTGCTAATTCCACGCCACTTGGTCGCCTTCATCCCATCCTTCAAGGAAGACAGGGGTCTACCCCATCGACTGCTCTTGGTTCTAAAGCCGCCCTAGAGAACAGCGACCTACAGGCTCACCTCAATGCCGCCAAAAAAGCCGCTTCGGCCTTGTTTTCAAAATCAGAGAGTGAGTCACTTCCTCCCTCCCATTCCCTAATTAACGATATTGTGTAGCTTTGGAACTTTTTACTAGTACTAGTCGTGTTTATCCAGATATTGAGGCTATTTAACATGTACAGTGTTACTAATGACATTCACCATAACTCTCTCTCTTTTTATTTTCTCCCCCCCCCCTCTCTCTCTCTCTTTTATATTTGATAATCATCTTTTGGTTGATTGATTATAGACACTGATGGGCCTCCTGCTAAAAAGAGGAAGAGGAGCAGGTGGGGAGGGGAAGAAACTCGCACTGTCATACCAGGAATGCCCACTGTGATACCACCTAACATGTCAGAAGGACAGCAAAAATTATACTTGAGTAAGAGAGAGAGAGAGAGAGAGAGAAAATGATGTGGATGTTGGTGTTCACATAATGTTAAAGGGTTAAAAATTAGTGTTTAATTGATCGGTGTGGTTTTTAGTTCATTTGCAAGTTGAGGATTACACGAGAAGACTCAGAACTGATGATCTAGGGATACCTATCAATCCTGCTGACAGGTAACTCCCTCCTCATTCCTTACCTTAACATTTCTTACCACATTAATGTCAGTCATTGTAGCTGGCTGAGTTTATTGTGTTTTCTCTGATGCATGTTAATGTCCTTAGAAGCTTATGCTATATAAAAAGTTTGAGCTAATTTTTCAAGCTCAGTTCTGGAGTTACATGTGCATGTATGAGTATTTTTTAATGAGCTAATTTTGAAAAAAAGCATCCACGGTTTTTTCCAAAAAATGGCTCCAAAATCACCCCTAATTTTTATTGCATTTTCTGATACATATTGATGTCCTCGTGCTACATAGAAAGTTTGAGCCAATTCCGACTTTAATTTTTTGAGTTACGACCATTTTTTTAAACTCCAAATTTAAGGAAAATACCCTGTACTATAGCCCATGGTTTTTTTCTGAAATTTGGCTCCAAAATCACCCCCAATTTTTATTGCATTTTCTGATACATATTGATGTCCTCATGCTACATAGAAAGTTTGAGCCAATTCCGACTTTAATTTCTTGAGTTGTGACCTTTTTTAAATTCCAATTTTCTGAAAATTACCCTGTGCTATAGTAGCCCATAGTTTTTTTGAAAATTGGCTCCAAAATGACCCATAATTTTTATTTCATTTTCTAATACATATTGATGTCCTTATGTTATGTAGAAAGTTTGAAGTGATTGCAGCAAAAGGGGCTATGAGAAAATTTAAAAAACTAGCAATTTAATCTTTATTGTCTGTCTTGTACAGGTCACCATCCCCAGAGCCTGTGTACAGTCATGATGGTAAGAGACTTAACGTAAGAGAAGTGAGAGTTAGGAAGAAGCTTGAGGACAGCAGACACTCCTTGATACAAGAGGCACTGAAGCTTAACCCAACCTATAAGCCGCCTGTGGATTACAGGTATGGGGAGAGAAGATTTTTTTTCTTATACATGTGTATGTGTCATTATTATTAAACTATTAGGCCTCCTGCTCAAAAGTTTGAAGATAAAGTGTTTATACCTCAAGAAGACCATCCATTGACTAACTTCGTTGGTTTGATCATCGGTCCTCGTGGAAACACTCTTAAAACACTTGAGAAAGAGGTGAGCATTCTTATAATAACACATTGATCTAGCATTACCTTAATAATCATTGATTTGCGTTACACTGTGTTACGCTGTTTGATTTTTTAGACTAACTGTAAGATCATGATAAGAGGCAAAGGAGCCGCTAAAGAAGGAAAGTTTAATCGTCTTGGAGTACCCCAGCCAGGAGAAGATGAGCCTCTACACGCCCTCGTGTCTGCTTCAACTCTTGAAGACCTTAAAATAGGAGTGGACAAAGTGAGAGGGAGAGTTGGGGGAGGGAGAGAGGGAGGGAGGAGGTGGGGGAGGGAGGGAGGAAGAGAGAGACAAATAGCTAAAAGGGAAATAGAAAGAAGAGTTAATGGTGAAATTAAATACAGTATGATTATGTACACATTCACACGTTTCATTTCATTTCTACAGATAAAGAGTATAGTCAAATCTGGCATTGATAATCCTGGGAATGAGAATGACCTGAAGAGACAACAAATGATGCAATTAGCTGAACTAAATGGAACGTACAGGCCTTTGGATGTACTCACGTACGACATTATTATTATTATTATTATTATGAAGAATGTAAATGTAAAATAATGTATAGTACAGACAATAATAATGCTAGTCCAGAGTTGTTGTGTTTTTTTTATGATTAATTTATTGTTGTTGTTGTTGTTTAGATGTCGTAATTGTGGTTCTTTGTCTCATCGTACTTGGGAGTGCTCGGAGGGTCAAAACGTCACGTCCACAATAATTTGTAGCAAGTGTGGAGGAGGCGGCCATATTGCTTCCGACTGCAAAGTAGACCTGTACGTGGATTAATAGCAAATATTTATAATTTTATTTAAAAATTTTCTTTTTGTGATTGTATAGTTTAAAAGATGGTGGAGAACTATCTGTGACTGAACGAGCAAAAATGGACAGCGAAGTTTGTTTTTATAATTAAAAAAATAATTATTATTATGACTTCTCTCTTTCCTTTCCTTCCTCCTTTTTCACAGTATCAGTCATTGATGAAGGAGTTAGGTGAGCCAGTTCCAGCTTCAGCTAGAGGAGGAGGAGCACAGATACCACCACCACCGGGACTGGTACTCACTTTACAAGACCCAGCAGTATTCATTGTTTTTCTTTTTTTTAATATTATAGGTGGGTGCCCCAGTACCAGTTGATCCCAATAACCCCTGGGGGGCAGCAGTGGGCCCTGGGGGCCAACCTCTACCAGTTATACCATATCCTTTAATGATACCAAGTAAGATGATGTACTGTATACATGTACCGTGAAATTTATGCGACAAAAAAAATTGCAAATTTTGCAGCACTTGGTGCAGTTAACAAGCTATTCGCAAAAATTTATTTCATGAAATCTTAGAATTTTAGGATTTGTGAGAAATTTTTGTTGCATAAATTTTGTGCTATGCGGTACTTTATGTACTAACTATGTGTACTCTATGTTATACCCTCTTGTGTATTTCAGTGGCAGCTGCTCCATGGATGCCAGTCCCTGTTGTGTCCACTCCTGAACCAACAGTTCCTTTCTCCATTCCTCAATCCAACAGACCAGCTCCGCCCACTTCACAAGGTATTATGACCCTCCCATTTCCATCCATTATTTTTCATAATTGATAGATGTTGCTGCTTGGACGGCTCCAAAGCTTCAGAATAGCAATGCTTCAATGGCTCCGCCTCTTCCTAACAGTGCCCCGCCCCTTCCCAACGAGGCTCCTCCCCCACCACCTCCTGATCATGTAAATTTTATTAATAACTATATAAATGTAAATTATTATTTTTTGTTATATTAGGCCCCGCCTCCACCTCCTATTGAGCCACCTCCCCCTCCTCCAGCTCCCTTCTAAACTGTACACACACACACACACACACTCATTACATAAATACATACATAGTTATTCACATACTCATGTTAATATGCAGGAGAGAAGGTTGTTGTACATGTACTTTCTACTCTATCTGACTCGCAGTCATTTTTGGGCTTTAGTAACTGACTCATGCTACAAGGACTAATACTATAATAATAGTAATAATTGTATTGTTATTTCACTGCTGTTACAGTAATTTTTTGTATGTATTTAATAAAAAGGGTAAAAACGTATTTCCTCGTAAAGTATATAAAGTCATCACTTCATAACAACTCAACAAAGCCTATAGAAATTGTGTTATGGGAATGGTTTAGGTCATGTTGTGAAACATTTAGTGATATTTCAGTTCTACTTGTGTGACCTGTCTGAATAGCTGCTATGTTGAATGGCATCTGCTATTTATTACTGCATTATGAACTCCAGGACCAATCTCAAGTCCAATAGAAGGTTCCATTATCAACAATTGCACAGGATAAAGTTAAGAGATGGCTGTGCTGTTCCTGCATGTCTTGAGCTTTGAATGCTCTCTGTTTTAGCCACACCAGGGGAGATTGAGTGCTGTGGATTTTTACAACCATTCAACTAGATATAGTATACTTACTATAATGCTACTCTACCACATAATTCATATGATTCCATATTTTAAAGCTTGAGGTGCATGTCTGACCTTTTAGGAGTCCAGCCCATTTGTTTATTTAATGGAAAAATGGTTTACTTTGAGCTGCCTGAAATAATAACTTTCCCTCTAATAATTTCCAAGCATTGTTTTGAATGTTTTCCCTAACATCTACAGCTTTCTGCATGTCTTCAACTTTGAATGCTCTACCAAATACCTCTGTTTTCACTACACCAGGTGAGATTTTAAAGAGGTGAATGTCTGTTTTTGACCTTTGAGAAGTCAGTTAATTTAATTTTAAAAATGAGCTGCCTGAAATAAGAAATTTTCCTACTAATAATTTCAAGGTACCGTAAACCTATTAATGTTAGCGGCTACTTTATTTAGCGTTTATGCTTAAAATAATGTCAAATTAGCGACTATTAAATTTGGCGTATCATTAAACCTTTCCCACTTTTCTGTTAGCTGCTGCTGTCGTTCCACTGGGTTCTCCTTCCTCTGGTAGTGTTGCCGACCGAGCAGAAGAAAGCCATCTACTAGTACCAGCGACATCTTGTGATCACGTGACCAGGTGTTTTTATAGCGAATATTAAATTTAGCGTGTTTAGGCTCTTCGCTAATATCGCTAAAATAAGTAGCACGCTAAAATTTGTAGTTTTACAGTATTGTTTTCACTAACATTATTGTCAAAAGCTGCTGTACTAGATATATGTATAGTTATGGTTTCACTAGTTTGGGAGTAATCTTTTGTAGCCAGACTCTCTACCACTTTTTGGCTTGGCAAGACTAGAGTAACAGTTTTCCAGTTGTTGTCACAATAATCTCATTAACCTACAGAGCAATGTGGGATGAAGGTAGGACACTGTTATTTATTGAATTACCTCCATTCTTGGTGGAGCACTGAGCACAAATAGAACTGTATTACCAATATCATCAGGTAAAAGAGGCATACCCTATTAGCAGATTCAATTTATTATTACTAAACAGCAATACTGGCTTACGTTTGATATAAGTTTATCAACATCATCAACAGCTTTCTGCATGTCTTCAGCTTTGAATGCTCTACCAAAAACCTCTGTTTTAACCACACCAGGTGAGATCGACTAAAACATATTAATTATCAGCTTATATCTGTTCAATATATACTTACTGTGCAGCGACAGTTTGACTTCATTTCTCTCAGTTCTTGTCTAACACCTTCAGCAATAGCAGTAATGGCATGCTTAGTCGCAGAATAAAAGTGATAAGGAGATGACGGTAAAACAGAATGTCCATTAATACTGTATGGATAATTTAATACAAGTAATGGCCGGGTGTCATATTACCTGTTAATGAATATGATATGAGCATCATCTACTCCTCTCTCCTTCACTTGATTCATGAATTCTCTTGTTATAATACAAGGACCTAATACATTAACCTACACATCAGTATATACAGTGAGAGCAAGAGTCATTGATGTTACTTACATCAAGCATGTTCCTCCCGTCTTTAGTATCACCAGTCAATAAAGGAGCATTATGAGCT